TTTACCAAAAAAAATGTTCACGATCAGTTTTCACCACCATAGATCAATACAAGATCAAGAAAATAATCAAAGACACATTCAGTGATAATTTTCACTAAACATTTCAGTGATAAATTTATCAGTGCATGATTTGTAAAAAAATTACATATGCCAAATAGTAACATGCCCCGGGGGTATCCGCGCGCGTTAAACAGTTCGGACCCTCTGTCTCTTTGATCTAGTCTCACAAGTGCAATATGAAACATAAACGAGAGTCCACATTTGGCAAATTTTAGAAAATTCATTTTTATTGCAAAAAATAAAAATAAAAATTGCAAGAAATGGACTGCGTCATCAGATCTCAAAATTGCCACCTAATATTTTGGGAAATTAGGAAACCCATGACTTGTGCCAAGGCCATTGTTCGTCATAACCAACGTTGTCTCGGTTCGGAACCTTAAGTATGAAAGAGGAAGGTCACTAATTGAGCACCCTCGCTCACCTAATCAAAAGATCAGCATTTACTAAACCAGAAAAAATAAAAATTTTACCAAAAAAAATGTTCACGATCAGTTTTCACCACCATAGATCAATACAAGATCAAGAAAATAATCAAAGACACATTCAGTGATAATTTTCACTAAACATTTCAGTGATAAATTTATCAGTGCATGATTTGTAAAAAAATTACATATGCCAAATAGTAACATGCCCCGGGGGTATCCGCGCGTGTTAAACAGTTCGGACCCTCTGTCTCTTTGATCTAGCCTCACAAGTGCAATATGAAACATAAACGAGAGTCCACATTTGGCAAATTTTAGAAAATCCATTTTTATTGCAAAAAAAAAAAAAAAAAATTGCAAGAAATGGACTGCGTCATCAGATCTCAAAATTGCCACCTAATATTTTGGGAAATTAGGAAACTCATGACTCGTGCCAAGGCCATTGTTCGTCATAACCAACGTTGTCTCTGTTCGGAACCTTAAGTATGAGAGAGGAAGGTCACTAATTGAGTACCCTCGCTCACCTAATCAAAAGATCAGCATTTACTAAACCATTATATGAATTTTATTTACTTTATATGTTCATATTCTGATTATTTAATAAATCTTGAAAAAAATTACTATGTGAAGCATACAAGTATAGACTATGTCACCTACTTTGGAACCACTTGATTTCATGTAGTTTTGAAAGAGTTTTGGAGATATACAACCCAAATAAATTGAGTTTACAAACATAAAAATTAACATCATTTCAAACTAAGTGACACAACCTCCATCCACTGGCATTCATAGAGTTATATCACTTAAGCAAATAGCCTCATGGTAGAATGCTAAACATAGTAAGAAAAACACACACAAAGGGGATGCTAAAGCATAAAAACTTACATGTTTGACATCCCGCGAACAAGTTGCAAAACAAATAAAACATGCATGATCTTATATATAAAATCCTAATGCAATTCACTCATGAGATGCAACTAAAGATTCAGCTTCTAAGATATTACATGTGAATCATCTCAAGAACATGAGGTAGTGCACATAATCACATAGGAATTGATTAAATCCACAAATACAAACTTATCCGAATCAAGATGCATGAAACATAGATGCAAAGCATGAACACAACAAAAATAAATAAATAAATAAAATAAACATGAAGCATATCCACAAATAGGGAAAGCAAGTAAAAGAAAGGGATAAAAAGAAGTGGGGTGAGAAATTATTACAACATTTTAAATAAATTATTACAAACCAAATTAGAGGGGGTTGAGGAGAATATTATAACAAAATAAAAACCTCATAATACACTCAAAATAAAATAAACAAAAGAAAAAAAAAAGTTTCATGCGCCTTGGAAATCACCGGAAGTTGGTTAACATCGAAAGATAACGCCGTTTTGTCCAAAAAAAGCTAACCGGCCGGCCCAACTAGGCCTAGCAAAACATGTCTTATTGCAAAACCAAGAAAAGGAACAAACAAGAAATATGTAGGTGACCCAACTAACCACTACCAGTTAGATTAAAAACAAGAAAACAAATATAAAATATTAAGAAAAAAAAGAAAAAAAGTGCAAACTTACAACAAAAACTAACATGAACCTAAATTAAGAAAAAAAATATAAGATAAAATATGCAAGATTACAACAAAACTAATATGAGTAATACAAGAAAAATATAAGCTAGGAAATGCAAGATTGCAACATAATTACTATGAAACTTGAGAGGGGAGATTTGCACCTGACTGTATGGCCGAGCTGAGATAACGTCAGACGTGACGGACTGCGCAGCGCCGAGCTAATCTCTGTTGACATGACCAGCAGCCTGCCCTGCACGGTCGGAAATATTGACCGGTCAGGCACCAACTGGCATAGCTGAGCTGCGTCTTGAACGTGTTGGACGGAGCTTGGGTTAGCGGATGCTGACTGGGCTAAAAGGTAGCCCGAGCTAGTCCGTGAGAGCGATCAAGGCCGGTGCATCTTGGATCGGTCAGTCGATATAAAGTGGCTTCGTGTGACCAAGATTGAAGGCAGACCGGTTGGAGGCAGGCATGCCTCGCAACCGGATGGTCATGATGAACCGACCAATGATTGTTCGGCCGAGGTGGGCAGGCTTTCGCCTGATTCCAAGTTATAGGTCGGCGACACATAGCTCGGTTATGAGCATGTAATAGCGACTCTCCACAAATGACAGGCCGGTCGTGGTACTCCGGTTAAGTATGCCACCTGGGCCAATGGCGTGGAGGAGAGGACATCCGCTCCACGCACGCCTCAATACCGTTGGGCAGTCCTGTGTGTACTGGAGGGAGGACTAAGCCTTTACACGCGTAAGGTGGTGAGAGGCGAGCACTGCCACCTGTCCAGGGAAGGACAGCAGAGGTAGTGCGCGCACAACCTCGAGGCTGCATGGCCAGCCTAGAAATATGGAGGAAGAGGGACGTTGGAGGTAAGCGAATTCATCCTACCAAAAACTCTCTCTGATAGCCTTCTTCCCTAGCTAGTGGTCTGACTTGATCGTCGGAGGGTCTTTCCGGCACACCACCGCCGGGCAGCTCACCGTTTTTGTGTTGCAAAGGTAGACACCATCAAGAGAAGCTCAGAGTACGAGAAGTATGGAGAGCAGAAGATATTTCCCCCCCGGTACAATTGGCGCCGTCTGTGGGAAGTTTTTTGATACTCAACCCTTGTTCTCAGAGCTTCTTCGATCATTTCCATGGCCAACAACGGCGAAGCCCCACTGTCCGTCGTTGATGGTGTCACCCCTGAGTACGTCCGCTTGAGAGAAGGTCCTCTGAATATTCCAGCCATGGCAGGCCTAGAAACTCCTTCGCGGATTGTGCGAGACAAACGCGGAAGGAGTGCTGATCGCTCACAGAGTCCTAGGGGCCGCAGACGCCGAGGGGAGTCCCATGCGTAGCGCTTGGAGCACAAACTCAAGGACCAAGACGCCGTCATTCGCAAGATGGCGGCAGAAATTGAGCTGCTGAAATGCCAATTCAAAGGGAAGGGTGTTGCTGGAGAGGGCAACCTCAGCGAGCGCACCCCGTCCCCTCGTTGGAGTATTCGCCGCAAAGGAAGGACCCCCTCTCTCTCCATCACCAGGAACTATGGGGCGGGAGACTCCAACCATGGGGAGGGCAGGTCCCTCTCTCGCGACAACACATACCGCCCCTCACGCCCGACCCCGACGTCGGGATCCTCTTTCTCCACACGTTCCAGGGACTTGAGGGATGCATTGGAAGAGAGGGCGCGCTGTCGGGAGGCTCGAAGGGTGCCGGCATTGCAGAGGTTAAGCGCTCCAGTGCGTTATAGTGAGGAAGTGGCGATGCCAGCCCCCAAAGTGCTGGCCCCTGCGCTGGAGAACAAAGAGCTGGCGCGAGTTACAGCCACACCGCTGTCTCCAGAGATTGAGAGTACGCCACTCCCCGCCGGATTCCACCAGCCAAAGTTCATTTTGTACGACGGCAAAATGGATCCGTACATGCACGTGAGTCATTATCGGCAAGTGATGGCTGGCCACCGGGCGCAACGACGCTCTGATGTGTCTCATATTCCCAGCAAGCTTGGGAGAGCTGGGTCTGAAGTGGTTTGAAAGGCTCCCGGAGGGGAGTATAGAGGGGTGGCAACAGCTAGCAGAAGCCTTCGTCACCAGATTCAAGACCAACACTCGAACGCCGAAGGAGGTCGACCATCTCCTGGGCGTCAAGATGGATTCTGGGTGTTCGTTGAAGGCATACAACGCGAAGTACTAGGAAACTTACAATGAGATCCTCGACTGCCCCACCAATCTGGCGATCACTCAGTACAAACGGGGTCTCCCAGTCGGACATAGGCTGCGAGATTCACTCACGATGCATCAACCTACAACCATGGCGTCATTGATGCAGCGGATCAATGAGCACATTCGTGTGGAGGATGATGCCGCCTCCACGACCGAGAAGGTTAATCCGGTCGCGGCGGACAGGAGGGTTGCGGGGAAAGTTCACTCGGTTGGGCAGGAGGATAGCCGCCCAAACAACCGGTCGAAAGACCAGCGCCATGGTCCAAACCGTGATGACAGAAACAAGGGCCGTTGAAACAACCGGGCAGACCCTCCCCGTGATGCTGCGGAGGATGCCAAAAGAAAATTGAAGGCGCGGACTGGGATCACCACGGTGTTTAAAATCCCCATCTACCGCATTTTGAGCGAAATTCAAAGCGAACCCTTCGTCCGTTGGCCGGCCAAGTTGGGGAGTGCCTAGAGAGGCTTCAATTCAAAATATCGTTGCACCTTTCATGAAGAGCGGGGGCACCGAACGGAGGACTGCCTGCCGCTCAAGCAACAGTTAGAGGAATTGGTGGCGGCAGGGCATCTTGACCAATACATAGATGGGGGCATCAAGGCCACGCCAGCAGACCAAGTCGAGCCAAACGGCCTGGACGCCCTAGAAACGCCCCCGCAAGGTGTAATCAACGTCATCCACGGAATCATTGAACCGGCTAGGGTTTGCGAGCTGAGGGGGATGATCAAGAAGGCCGAGCAC